GGGGGGGGGGGGGGGTTGCGTGACGGCGACACGGTGGAGAATGAGAGTGACAAAGATTGATGGTTTAGGGTTCGGCAGTGAGAGAGTGTGGCTAAGGGTTAGAAAATTTGAAATGGGCCAACTAACTCTGCATTTAAGCCCAACCCGAAATTGGGTCTGCAACTATGACGCTGGGCGACCCTAGGTGGATGGCGTTGGGCGTGACTAAGCAGAAGACCACACACCAGCATAAGCTGGCCCTATGCAGCTTGAGCCGGGCACCCCTGGTCAGAGGGGGTTAGGCGTGAATTCTGCAGAATTCAACATCTGCAGAATTCAACAACTGCAGAATTCAACAACTACAAAATTCAACAACTGCAAAATTGGACAACTCACTCTATGATTTTTGGAATTTGACACTTCTTGGAAATAAATTCAGCCCATATCACTATGTTTTTGCTATACAAACTTGCTCAACACAAAAAGAGGTGAAATTGAGTGCTAGAATGACAAATCAAGTGCACACTTCCAAGCTCTCTAGTTCTTACAACTCAAGGCTTTACATTTTGACACTTTAAGCTTACCTAAACTCAACAAACTAATAAAAAACAAATACAAACACTAGAACACATCTAAACAGGTTAAGCCATACCTATTCACATCAATTTACTACAACACTCAACATGACACTAATACACTATTAACCTCACATAAACTACACAACACACTAACATGCTCCAGAATAACCAAATCAACCCAACACATCCTAAAGCAATTTCAAACAATCAAAATACACTCAAATAACAAAATCACACAGAAGAAGGGTTAGAAAGCTGGGTTGCCTCCCAGTAAACGCTTGTTTAACGTCATTAGCTTGACACTGTTATGCTCAGGGGTCAACCAACTCAATACTTGTGTTGAGGCGTTTCACCTCACCACCCAAGTAATGTTTGAGTCGTTGCCCATTGACTACCCAGCTTCTCTGTGGGTCATCAGAGGATGGATCCATTAGCTTGATTACTCCATGCTATTTAACATCCTCGATGGTGAACGGGCCCGACCATTTTGACTTCAATTTGCCAGCGAAGATTTTGAAGCGAGAGTTAAACAACAACACTTGCTGGCCAGGATGAAAGATCTTCTTAACTAGCTTCCTGTCATGTAGAACTTGACTTTCTCCTTGTAGCTTTTGGAAATATCATAGGCATGAAGGTGCATCTCTTCAAGTTCAAGCAATTGTCTCTTTCTCTTTTCAACCGACTTGGAGGGGTTAAAATTCAAGAACTTTAAAGCCCAATAAGCCCGGTGCTCCATTTCCACCGGCAGATGACAAGCCTTTCCATAGACCAACTGGAAAGGAGATAGCCCCACTAGAGTCTTCATGGCAGTTCTGTATGCCCAAAGGGCATCATCCAGCTTTTGAGACCAATCCTTTCTAGAGGAAGCAACTGTTTTCTCAAGAATCTTCTTTATTTCCCGGTTTGAAACTTCAGCTTGGCCATTTGTTTGTGAATGATAAGGTGAGGCCACCTTATGATTCACTTCATAATACTTAAGCACCTTGGCAAGTTGAGCATTGCAGAAATGGGATCCTCCATCATTGATGAGGACCCTAGGAACTCCAAACCGGGCAAAGATTTGCCTTTTCAAAAAATTTATAACTGTAGAAGCATCATTCTTAGGGCAAGCAACTGCCTCCACCCATTTGCTCACATAATCAACAGCCACCAGAATATACTCATTGTTGAAAGAAAGAGGAAGAGGGCCAACAAAATCTATACCCCAGCAATCAAAGACTTCAACCTCTTGAATGGCCTGCAAAGGCATTTCATGCCTTCTTGAAATACTCCCCGTTCTCTGGCATTTATCACAGTTTCTAGCATGACGGTGATAATCCTTGAACAAGGTAGGCCAATACAATCCAGATTGAAGAACTTTTACAGCTGTTCAAAGTCTTGATCCCAATTGAGAGCTATAATCACTAGGGCCGAAATCAACTTATTCTTCAGGATTTCAAATGCCTTCAGGCATTCCTTATTCATTTCAAAGGGTGTATCCTTTACAAGGAGATTGCTCAAGGGCTTTGCAGTCTTGGAGAAGTCTTGAATGAATCTTCTATAGAAGCCAGTATGACCAGGAAAGCTTCAAACGCCCTTTACATTGTTTGGTGGAGGAAGCTTTTCAATAACCTCTACTTTGGCTTTGTCCACTTCAATCCCCTTGGATGATATCTTATGCCACAAAACAATGCCTTCGGTCACCATGAAGTGGCATTTCTCCCAATTAAGAATGAGATTGGTTTGGATGCATCTTTTCAAGACAATCTTTAGATTTGCCAGGCATAGATCAAATGAACTCCCAAACACTTAGAAGTCATCCATGAAGACTTCTATACATTTCTCCACAAGGTCTGAGAATATGGCTTGCATGCATCTTTTGAAAGTGGTTGGGGTGTTACAAAGCCCAAATGGCATCTTTCTATATGCAAATATACCAAAGGGGCATGTGAAAGTTATCTTCTCTTGATCTTTAGGATCCACAGCTATTTGATTGTAACCAGAATACCCATCCAAGAAGCAGTAGAAGGCTTGACCAGCCAATCTCTCTAGCATCTGGTCCATGAAGGGGAGAGGAAAGTGATCCTTTCTAGTGGCCTTATTTAGCTTCCGGTAGTCGATACACATTCTCCAACCGGTGACTGTTCTTGTAGGGATGAGTTCATTCTTCTCATTACACACTACTGTCATGACACCCTTCTTGGGCACTACTTGCACTAGACTCACCCAAGTGCTATCAGAAATAGGATAAATGATTTCGGCCTCAAGAAGCTTTAGAACCTCTTTCCTCACCTCCTCTTTCATGATGGGATTGAGCCGTCTTTGAGATTGGGCCACTGGTTTGAAATCCTCTTCCATAAAGATTATATGCATGCAATAAGTGGAACTTATCCCCTTCAAATCAGAGATAGACCATCCCACAACTCCTTTGTTGCTTTTTAGGACCTCTATCAGCTTCTTCTCTTCGTCAGATGATAAGGAGCTGCTGATAATTACTGGTTTGCTCATACCCTATTCTAGAAAAACATACTTTAAGTGAGAGGTTAACATCTTCAACTTCAACTTCTTCTCTTCAACCATGGCATCAGTCTTCAGGTCTTCAATCTTCATTTCTTGAGTTGGAATCTCCTTGAGCACATCAAGATCCGTCAAACACTCTTCAAGAATTCTCTCTTCTTCCTCATTGAGAGATTCATGTGCATCAATGAGGGTCTTCATAAGAGGGGATGAAATATGTATCTCTCCCTTTTCACCTTCATGCAGCTTCATCAAGCACATCAACTTGAAAACATTCTCCCTCATCATTGGAGTGGAACATGGCTTCAAAGACATTAAAATTCACCTCTTCATCTTCCACCCTTACCTTGAGCTTGCCATCATCAACATCAATAAGCACTCTTGTCGTCTTCATAAACGCCCTTTCAAGAATGAGAGGCACATCCACATCCACCTTCATCTCCATGATAACGAAATCCACCGAGAACACAAATTTATCAACTTTAACAAGTACATCCTCCACCACACCATGTGGATACTTGATGGATCTGTCAGCCAATTGTAGAGTCATCCGAGTGGGCTTGAGTTCTAGCTCTCCAATCTTCTTGAATAAGGAAAGAGGCATTATATTGATGCTAGCACCCAAGTCAATCAAGGCTTTCCCAATAGCTAGCTTCCCTATAGTGCAAGGGATGATGAAGCTACCCGGATCCTTGAATTTCTGAGGGAGGAGCTTCTGGATAATGGCACTACAGTTGCCTTGCACTTCAGTGGTCTCTTCCTCTATGTATTTCTTCTTTTTAGTGAGGAGTTCCTTCATGAACTTTGCATAGGCCAACATTTGTTGCAGTGCTTCTCAAAAGGGTATTTTAATCTCCAATTGCTTGAAGATATCCATAAACTGCCCAAACTGCTTCTCCTTCTCCTTTCTTGAGTAGATTTGTGGATAGGGAAGAGGCTTCTCAAATTCTTTTTCTTTTCTCTTTCTTCTCTCATCCCCCTCTTATCTCTTTTTCTCTTCTCCAACACTCTTTTATTTCTTTCTCATTCTTTTCTTCTCTCTCATTCTCATATTTTCTCTCATTTTCATCTTTTTTCTCAACACCCTCGTTTAAGTTCTTTTTCTCTCCACTCAATAACACCTTACCACTTCTCGTGGTGATCACCTTGCATTTTTCCTTGCGGTTAGCTTCCGTATTGGCTCCAAAATTCTTCTCAGACTTCTCCTCTAGCTTCTTGGCCAGTTGGCCAACTTGGATCTCCAGATTTCTAATGGAAGCTTTGGTACTTTTGTGGTTGGAGATGAACACTTGCATGAATTGTTAGAGAGTGTCCTCCAACTTAGAGGTCCTCTCTGATAGAGAAGGGTGTGGTTGGTATTGTTGTTGTGGCGGTCTGTTTGATGGCTCAGCTTGTCCTTGGCCCATGCTTGGGTGTGGTCTCCACCCTTGGTTATAGTTACTTTGCCGGTTTTGATTACCCATGTAGTTCACATCTTCTTGGGTATTGGCCTGCATAGCACACTGACCGTTTGTATGTTCTCCACCACACAACTCACACCCTTGGAAGTATTACCCATGTGACACATTTTGGAGCTCTTTCGACAATTGAGATAGTTTGTTCATGAGAGCTTCAAGTTGTTGGGTCATTATCTTGTTTGAGCTAACAAGGCGTCCTAAGATGGTAGTTGAAAAACACCTTTTTGTTGAGTCCTTTCATTCTGCAATTCATTGTCATTTGCAGCCATGTTTTCAATTAGCTCATGGGCTTCTTCTAGTGTCTTCCATCGGATATTTCCTCCAACCGAGGCATCCAACATCAATTTGGTTTGGGATCTCAATTCTCCCAAAAACATATTCAAGACTATAGGCTCATCAAACCCATGAGTAGGTGTCTTTCTCAATAGCCCCTTGAATATATCCCAAGCTTGACTCAAAGTTTCACTAACATCCTGCTGAACAGATGAAATCTCCTATTTCCCCTTGTTAACTTTGGATTGTGGGAAGTATTTGTTGCAGAATTTGGCCACCACATCCTCCCATGTAGTGAAGTTGTTTTGAGGAAAGGAATTGAGTCATGCCTTGGCATTGCCTCCCAATGAGAATGGAAACAGGCTGAGCCTTATACCTTCATCAGGTACATCATGGATCTTCACCGTGTTGCATATCTCAAGGAAGCTGGTTATGTTATTGAATGGACTCTCATGCGATAGGCCATGAAACTGATTACTTTGCACCAGGTGGATGAGAGCAGGCTTCATCTCCATGTTTGTAGCTGATACGCTGTCGTTGAGGCTATCAAATTAATACTACTTTTCAAGGCAACTTCAATATTGCCAAGTAGTATTTAAGAAAGTAGATAGGGTTAACGTAACCCTAAGTCGTCTCCCAACGAACACGGAATTGCTTTCGAATATCTGACTCTTATGAATGTTATGCAATGTTTATGAATAAAAGTAATGATTGAAGAGTGTTTAAAGAATAAATAAGAAACTTAAAAACAGTTATGATGAAATAGGCTAATTCCACTGCTTTTCCAAGATAGATTCATCATTGGTTATTCACAGATAATTGTTCAATTGATTATTATTTAAGTTTCAAATTAATTAAAGTACATTCTTAATTAATTTGAGGGCGATCATGCACTTAACCAAAGTAAATTCTCAATCAAATGCAAAACCTTACTAGATTATTCACAATAAATNTGCCTTGCACTTCAGTGGTCTCTTCCTCTATGTATTTCTTCTTTTTAGTGAGGAGTTCCTTCATGAACTTTGCATAGGCCAACATTTGTTGCAGTGCTTCTCAAAAGGGTATTTTAATCTCCAATTGCTTGAAGATATCCATAAACTGCCCAAACTGCTTCTCCTTCTCCTTTCTTGAGTAGATTTGTGGATAGGGAAGAGGCTTCTCAAATTCTTTTTCTTTTCTCTTTCTTCTCTCATCCCCCTCTTATCTCTTTTTCTCTTCTCCAACACTCTTTTATTTCTTTCTCATTCTTTTCTTCTCTCTCATTCTCATATTTTCTCTCATTTTCATCTTTTTTCTCAACACCCTCGTTTAAGTTCTTTTTCTCTCCACTCAATAACACCTTACCACTTCTCGTGGTGATCACCTTGCATTTTTCCTTGCGGTTAGCTTCCGTATTGGCTCCAAAATTCTTCTCAGACTTCTCCTCTAGCTTCTTGGCCAGTTGGCCAACTTGGATCTCCAGATTTCTAATGGAAGCTTTGGTACTTTTGTGGTTGGAGATGAACACTTGCATGAATTGTTAGAGAGTGTCCTCCAACTTAGAGGTCCTCTCTGATAGAGAAGGGTGTGGTTGGTATTGTTGTTGTGGCGGTCTGTTTGATGGCTCAGCTTGTCCTTGGCCCATGCTTGGGTGTGGTCTCCACCCTTGGTTATAGTTACTTTGCCGGTTTTGATTACCCATGTAGTTCACATCTTCTTGGGTATTGGCCTGCATAGCACACTGACCGTTTGTATGTTCTCCACCACACAACTCACACCCTTGGAAGTATTACCCATGTGACACATTTTGGAGCTCTTTCGACAATTGAGATAGTTTGTTCATGAGAGCTTCAAGTTGTTGGGTCATTATCTTGTTTGAGCTAACAAGGCGTCCTAAGATGGTAGTTGAAAAACACCTTTTTGTTGAGTCCTTTCATTCTGCAATTCATTGTCATTTGCAGCCATGTTTTCAATTAGCTCATGGGCTTCTTCTAGTGTCTTCCATCGGATATTTCCTCCAACCGAGGCATCCAACATCAATTTGGTTTGGGATCTCAATTCTCCCAAAAACATATTCAAGACTATAGGCTCATCAAACCCATGAGTAGGTGTCTTTCTCAATAGCCCCTTGAATATATCCCAAGCTTGACTCAAAGTTTCACTAACATCCTGCTGAACAGATGAAATCTCCTATTTCCCCTTGTTAACTTTGGATTGTGGGAAGTATTTGTTGCAGAATTTGGCCACCACATCCTCCCATGTAGTGAAGTTGTTTTGAGGAAAGGAATTGAGTCATGCCTTGGCATTGCCTCCCAATGAGAATGGAAACAGGCTGAGCCTTATACCTTCATCAGGTACATCATGGATCTTCACCGTGTTGCATATCTCAAGGAAGCTGGTTATGTTATTGAATGGACTCTCATGCGATAGGCCATGAAACTGATTACTTTGCACCAGGTGGATGAGAGCAGGCTTCATCTCCATGTTTGTAGCTGATACGCTGTCGTTGAGGCTATAAAATTAATACTACTTTTCAAGGCAACTTCAATATTGCCAAGTAGTATTTAAGAAAGTAGATAGGGTTAACGTAACCCTAAGTCGTCTCCCAACGAACACGGAATTGCTTTCGAATATCTGACTCTTATGAATGTTATGCAATGTTTATGAATAAAAGTAATGATTGAAGAGTGTTTAAAGAATAAATAAGAAACTTAAAAACAGTTATGATGAAATAGGCTAATTCCACTGCTTTTCCAAGATAGATTCATCATTGGTTATTCACAGATAATTGTTCAATTGATTATTATTTAAGTTTCAAATTAATTAAAGTACATTCTTAATTAATTTGAGGGCGATCATGCACTTAACCAAGGTAAATTCTCAATCAAATGCAAAACCTTACTAGATTATTCACAATAAATCAACCAAAGTACATTCTCAATCAAATCCTATTGTGTTTAATCATGTCTATTCTTAAATCGCCTAACCAAATTAAAAACTAATCAATCAAAGTAAATTCTCAATTGATTGTAGTTGAAATTATTACTACCAATCAAAGTACATTCTCAATTGATAGTAAAAACTAATTAATCATATGAAAGTTCCTAAATTAAATCAAAGTAGATTCTCAATTAAAACTAGAAACCCTAGAACTCATATAATCAATATGCATGTAGATTCAAATACATTATGATGAAAAAAACTTTGCTTTTAATTTGATAGAGAGATGAAAGATATAGAGAGATAACAACTTAAATCAATAATCAAAATAAACAATTGCATTAACTCAATCTAACCTCAGAATCCATAATGGAATTACAGCAGAATAGCCCTAGATGCTTAGCTCTCCATGAATGGAGTTGAAGACAAGATGAAATAAGAGAGAGAGAGAGAGAGAGAGAGAGAGAGAGAGAGAGAGAGAAGTGGTGAATGAATGAATTAAGTGAAGTCCCCCCTGGGTCTCTTTATATAGGGCTTGATTGGGCTTGGACTCTGAATATTCAGTTGACAAAATCTTTTATCTTATATCTTCCACATAACTAAAAGATTTAGATAATTATAACATTATTTGGAAGATATTTTCTGTTGATATTCCCAAATTACAATAATTCAACAACTGAATTTTATCTTTTAGCTTTTCTGACTTTTCAAAATTGCACAAATGCCCTGAAATTTCTTCTATCTACACTTTAGCCCCTTCTAAATTTTCTAAATAAAAACTGATTTTGGGCCTTGAATTGCCATTTGGACCAATAAAACTTATATTCTCAGCTGCACAAATAAACATTAGAACATCTAAGAATAACTTATGCGCTAAAACTCACTTTTTACGTCTCTTTATTTCCTAAACCCAACAATTCCAATCATCACAAATTCACTTAAAATCAACCATTTAAGCACAATTATCCCATCAAAAATTTGAATTTTAAAGCATAAATGTGGGCATAAATATGCACTCATCAGTAGCATTGACCCGTGGCAGAGCAATGCTATTAAAGTGGAGAGGTCATGAGAACGTAGAGTAGTCCTCCAAGGTGCGTCTGGCTTGCCCATCACCATTACCATTCCGATTGTCAACCATATCCTCCACTTCCTGATCAGATGTAGGGAT